GTCACTACATCAACCAATGCCGTCACTACATCATCAACTTATGCTGTCACTACATCAACCTATAATGTCACTACATCAACCTATGCCGTCACTACATCATCAACTTATGCTGTCACTACATCAACCTATAATGTCACTACATCAACCAATGCCGTCACTACATCATCAACTTATGCTGTCACTACATCAACCTATAATGTCACTACATCAACCTATGCCGTCACTACATCATCAACCAATGCCGTCACTACATCATCAACCTATGCTGTCACTACATCAACCTACTTTGTCACTACACCATCAACCTAATCTGTCAATATATCAACAATTTCAGCTGGCACCACATCAACCTACAATCTCACTACATCAACAATGTGTGTTTTTACCACATCAACAAAGTATGCTGTCACAACAATATATTCTGCTATCATGTTAAACTGATACATAACAACAACTTTGGCCTATACATCACAATCTTACTCTTTGTCAGTACAGCACTCTACAATGGCACTACACTAACAATTGTTTTACTGTAATAAAAACATGTTTCAGATGCATGTACACATACAGACACACACACACACATTATATATATATATATATATATATATATATATATATATATATATATATCGCAATTAAATTAAAGTTCACTTTAAAATACGGTAACTGACCTTATTTAATGTTATACCAAAATCCAGAATGTAAATGAACACCTACACTCACTAAACGAAACGTGTCACATATCAACCAAGATTTTTCCCTATCCACCACTACATTTATCCAGATGTAATTTTTTCTAATCTAACATAAATAAGTCCCGGCCTTTCGACGGTTACCTGGCAGACTTTCCCCGTCCTGACAGTTGTGGCCTTTAAGGCAGTGTTCACCTGTCTCCCCACGGCCTAGGCCCCTACCTCCCGCCTGTCCGCGCTAAAACATAAACAACTGCATCTCGGCTGACTTGAACACAAGTCGACAGTATCAAATGTTTAACTAAGACGCACGCTTCAATGTGATTCAAAGTAAAAAGTATTCAGTGTTTGTATCAATACGAGAAGGTGGAGATAGTTAATGTTTAATTACATGTGTTAAATTTATTGAAGAAACCAATAAAAATAGAAGTGTTGCAGAATTCACGCTTAAATTAGTGCGATTTCTTGCATGAAAACAAGCCTACGGTTGAAGCTACAGTAATTGAGAAACGTTCACTGTATTCTGATACCTGTTGACACAGGGTCCATCCCCAAGTGTGAACTTCAACAAGTTAGTGCAATACTCATTCAAGCTTTCGGTCCTTCAATAACTGCCGTACCATTCCCACCCCACCCTCTCCCTTTCCACGCAGCGGGTTGGGGTAAATACAACCATAAAGTGCCTCCATTGAAAGTAGGATCAGTCGGGTAGACTGGTCTCAGGTTTGATTTTATGGCTTTACACAACTTCCTTTTGGTTTTTATGTCGGAGTTTGTCACGGCGTATGTGAGGCTTGATCGCTTTATACAGGTTATAAAGATAATAGCCAGTAGCTAGCCTCTAGCCAGTAGCTAACCTCTAGCCAGAAGCTAACCTCTAGCCAGAAGCTAACCTCCAGCCAGTAACTAACCTCTAGCAAACAGCTAACCTATAGCCTGTTGCTTACCTTTAGCTAGCCCTTAAATGTAGTTACCGGTGTTACTAGTCGATAAACAAAGTGAATTCAGTTCACAGCTCTCCCTAACCATCTTTGTTGTCAAATTAGAACAACCTTACTAGATCTAGATCTAGTCTATATCATACATCGGTGATAAAGTTGAGAAATTCTTTAAAGAAAGTTAATGAAAAATTCAGAAATAGTTTGTAAAAAGTTACGTTTATTTTCTTAATTATAAGCTTATCTTGAAAACAGAACTTACGGTTACAAAACTCATTTTATTTATTTTTATTCCATCAAATTTCCTTTAGTTAGCAGATACTGAGTAAATCCAAGAAGGAATCACAATGGTCCGATGACGAACAAATATCCAGATAAAATCACAATTTCCCGAAGAAAACTAAAACAGTCCCGTCAAATTGAATCACTAGTCTAGCCCAACTGTCCACATACCAACGATGTTTTCGTGACGCAGATTACGAGTGACATCAAACATAGCTGCTATCACACAGCCGATAAAGCAAGAGACAGATATGAATGACAAAAGGTCCGATTTTGACACATGCCACACCACATTGTCTAAACATATTTCTTCTAACGCCAGTAGCGTATGCAGGGGGGGGGGGGTGCTAGGGCCCCTCCTACTTACTGACCCTCACAATGACAAATTTCTCAATGACATCTACAGCCAACTGAGTTTGTTCCTATTTACGTTTCAATATTTTGAATGCCATAAAACCATACTTTTACGTTATTTAATTAAGAATGTTGCCTTTATCGAAACATGTTCACACACCCCTCCCTCGTTACTAAATATTGGCAACGCCACCAAGCTTTCTGCATTAGTTAGGGCATGGTCTTTAGTCTGTATTATCTGCCTCAATAAATCAGGTAGGTCAATAATCCGCTCCTTTGCTAATCCCCATGTACGACAGGAGTCGTTTGATAACTTTTCGGCTATGAAGTTTTGGGCTGCCAAACTCGTCGAAAGACAAACCCTTAACTTAGGCCTAGTTATATATAACCATAACCCTACTCTAACTTAAAAATGTGTATCGATATAGCCCACTTCACGAAGCTGCTCGGAAAGGGGACAATTGAATGCCCAGTAACAGAAAACTACAGCAGTTGTATGCGTGTTCATGAAAAGTCTCCTCAGTAGTTAGGGCCTATATAACAGACATGTCCACACAAAATGGCTTAAGTCACTTGAGGTATAGACCTAGTACATGGCTTAAATAGCACACGTGACCAGGGGAAAACACAATAGAAGATTAATGAATATCCAAAGCCCTAACGCTAATCTGGACTAATCAACAACACGACAATGGAGACACACCTGTCAGCGCTGGACACGGGATCAGGGCTAAAAATAAACGGACTTGGCAGAACTCTTGACACTGGACACGGCTGCTGTGTATTTTTATGGGTTTTTTTTTTTCTTGTTTTTTTTTTTTTTTTTTTTTTTTTTCGAGATAAGCACGATGAAACCAAGACGGAAGTAGTCTGATTCTTGGAATGAAAGGTCGCTGTGACGAGGTTCAGCGGGCAGACAACAGACTTCACGTGTTTTTTTGTTATCACTTCTACAGCACAGCATTGGGGTCAGACACGGAACACGCCGTCATTTCATTGGTCACATTTAGGATTTTTATAGGTCACATCGTTTTTGTAGTCTAGGTTAAAAATAGCATTTTACTGTTGGTGCTACATAATTTTTTTTTTAATGGCACCAGTATGCTATAGGGCTATTATATGCTACACTTAACAGGGATCTTTTTTTCCCCAGCTAAACTTGCAGTGTTTTTTTTTCAGTCTATACACATTGGCCTACCCCATCAAGTATTTTTAAAATATCACATTCTTAATCAATAACACAGTAAATAATATAGATAATTACATTTAGATGAAGATTTTTTCTAGAATGTAGATCTAGTTTAGTATAAATTTGAAGTAAGAGCATTTGATGTTTTTGACTATTACTACTACTCGATTTAATCTAGATATAACTATTTCTATACCATAGAACATATAGACTCTATACGCTATATAGATCTAGGCCTACTTAAAAATACTACTTATAGTTACAGATCTAACTCTTACCCAAGTAATTAATTATCTTACTGAATACTACCACTTAGCAATAATAAGCCTTACTAAATAATATGATAGATTATAGAATAGTAGTATATAATAATACAGTTTTAAATGAGCGCTCCTTCCAACTGATAATACACATGTAGATCTACATATAATTAAACCTATAACAAGAAATCAACAAATATAGATCTAGATATAGTCTGTCTTACAAAGCGCAGCCGCCGAGAGCGAAAGTAGCAGACGTATGAGTTATTGCTAGTTCTCTCCCCTTGCGGCCTATCCCCCTTGACCTCTTTGTCCACCCACCAAAACAAAACACGGACCGGAATGTCACAGGTGATTGATAAGCGACAAACGGGGCTGTGGTCTCAGGACGGGACTTTGGCGACCCGTCCTGTTGGCTAACATCGCATTAAAGCGAAACACTTGACCAAATGTGACGATTGGACACAAATGGTAACAGTTGACCAAATGTGACGATTGGACACAAATGGCAACAGTTGACCAAATGTGACGATTGGACACAAATGAACGTGACAGAACACAACTCTAAAATTAAACAACCTCGGCCAGTTGGTCAAGATTGAGAATAAAAATTAGTATGCCTGCAACGAAGCATTAGGACAGATGTATACATAATTGATTAGTGCGACAAACAGAGCATGCAGAAAGGCGGGGATTATTTAAATTTCAGTTCTCATCGGTTTCACAAAGAGGGAGAAAAAAAAACATCATGCACAAAAGTAATAAAAATATTTTCAAAATCTATCTTTAAATAAAACAAACGTTTCTAGCCAATTTTGTAGTACTGCTAGAGTTTCTTTCAGACACCTCTTCAGAAACATAATAGGAAAATGTATAATTCTATCAGTGCCCCCCCCCCCCCCACCCACTGAGAAAAATAAAAGTATTGGTTAAAATAACTATTCGAAACAAACATTGTCTTCCATATTTACACCCCCCCCCCCACCCCCGGAGAAAAGGTCTGAAAAAATACTGCTGATATTCCCCCCCCCCCCCCCCATATCTCAGTGCTAGTTCTACTAATTACCCGAAACCAACCTTGTCTTCCACATTAGCACGATGCCCCCCCTCCCCGAGGAAAAGTCTGAAAGAAACACTGCTGATACCCCCTCTCCTACTAACTACCCGACACCAACCTTGTCTTCCACATTCGCACCATCCCCCCCCCCCTCCCCGAGAAAAAGTCTGAAAGAAACACTGCTATACCCCCCCCCCCCCCTTCTGAAAACTACCCGACACCAACCTTGTCTTCCACATTCGCACCATGCACTGAATCCTCTTAGTGCTCCTCCTCAGCTTCTGATGTCTCTTGTACACGATGTACATGCGCATGTAGGTCTGCAGCTGAATGGCCGCCTTAGAGCGGATCTTCAGAGCTTCGTTGTCCAGCCTCATTTCGAAAGTTTCCTTCATGAACACCTAGAAGACATAATTTATGCAAATATTAATTAACATCACCTACATTAAAGCTATGATGTTAGCCTACATCTAAGGTCGCAGACAGCAGTATCTACTTTATATGGTAAGGTAGTTCCCTAGTCTAGTGTTTCTTTTGGACTTTTTTCTCGGTGGGGGGGGGGGGGGGGGTCTTGAAATTTTCCGGGAGGGGGGTGGACACTGGTAAAAGTATATATTTTCTGTATAAATTCTATTTCGTTCGGGGGGGGGGGGGGGGGGTAGAAGAGATGCCTGGAAGAAACTGGTAGCTTGTATTTTAATGAATAGTAATATATATTAATTTTATTCCATCTAATAATATAGTCCCCCCCCCCCCCCTCGTTGAATAATACGTTCGACGCCTCTTAGGTGATCTATTGTAAAATAGAGCAATGTGTAAAAGCCTTTTTAGTGAAGAAAAACTAAAATCGCAAAATCGCACTTATTTCAGCAAGCATGTACGATATTTGGTTGTCGAGTTGTTTTAAATATTGCACACATAATGGAGACACATAGATACACATATGTGAGACAAATGTAGCACATGTGAAGCTGTCTTAACTTACGTTGTTTGTGTAGCCAGGACCGGCTAAGTGTGGTAGGGTTGGGGTCCAACCGGTAGACAATGAGCGGTCAGAACTGGTCAGTTTCTCACAACCCGCGGTACTATATTTAGTCAATATTTCACTTATTGTGCCAGCGTAATTGGTCCCATGCGAACCACCAACATCACAACCAATATTACTAAAACCACTAACATCACCACAACAATCAAGAGATGCCAAAGAAACCTCTGAATATAAATTGGCATTCTTTTCGTTGAACAACTTATCCATAGACTTGATTTGATCGTGTTTCTCTGAATCGGTTGTGATTATGGAAAGCCTTTTCAATGGAAAAAAATCTTTCACTAAACTTCCATCTCTCACGTGATTCTTATAACCCGCTGGTCCAAAGTCGATCAGGTCGTTTTTGTAACTGGGCAGCGATTTGTCAATGAACGTCTCCAGCAGGCCATCATAGTGGGGGGATTTTATCTTGGTGCCATTGATGCTCTCCAGATTTTTCCCTCTCTTGTCATCTACTCCTGTACCATAGACCTTCTCTAGATATCCCTGGCTCTTGTCATTTACTCCTGTACCATAGATCTTCTCCAGATATCCCCGGCTGCTGTCCTCCACCCCAGTACAGAACATCACCAGCGCCTGTCCAGTCTTGTGGTCATCTTTCTGTAGCTGAGACCACCCACTGGACGTGTAAATAAACTCTGAACTGTCCGCGTCACTGTCAAAATCACGAGGGGGGATCGGCACATTCTTTGGCGCGCTTTTAGGAGATACCTGTTCGTTGTGGTTCATAACATCACTAATGTCTTTGGGCGTGTCAAGCGTCTGATGAGCCGGTACAGGTGGAGTAGAGTTATCGACGTGGGACTGAAATGGAGAAAAGCTGACACCCCGAGGCGATGCCAGTGTATCTGACACTACTGGTGGGTCTGCAGCTTTTCCCTTATAGAATGTGTATCCCCCATCCGTCGATTTTTCTAGAAAATTAGATTTTAAATTTGAATCGGTTCCATTCACGACTATAGGAGCCACAGGTGGGACGTTTTCTTTCTTAACGTTTGTGTTTTTGACAGAGGCCCCAAGCAGGTGTGGGTCTCCCCTGTAGATCTGGTATGGCGTCTCGTTAAAGTGAGTGATGGATTCCTCTAGGACGTCGGCTGAAGACGGTGGGGAAAAGACAACATCGGCTAGGGATGCAGGAGGTCCAGACGTTGCAATGGCTGGGGTTTTAATGTGTGAATCGCTGGCAGCAGATGGAGGTTGGCGTTCTGCGTTGTTTGTGCTTGCTGAAAATTGTTGTCTTTGGTTGTATTCAGGAGAGGACGGAAGGGGAAGGTGGTCGTGTGCTTTGTAGATTGGTCGCGGAGAAACCGGAGTTGGTTCTGTGTTATAGGTTGGCCTTGGAGAAGCTGGCCGGTTCTGTTCCATATTATATGTTGGCCTTGGAGAAGCTGGCCGATTTTGTTCCATATTATATGTTGGCCTTGGAGAAGCTGGCCGATTTTGTTCCATATTATATGTTGGCCTTGGAGAAGCTGGCCGATTTTGTTCCATATTATATGTTGGCCTTGGAGAAGCTGGCCGATTTTGTTCCATATTATATGTTGGCCTTGGAGAAGCTGGCCGATTTTGTTCCATATTATATGTTGGCCTTGGAGAAGCTGGCCGATTTTGTTCCATATTATATGTTGGCCTTGGAGAAGCTGGCCGATTTTGTTCCATATTATATGTTGGCCTTGGAGAAGCTGGCCGATTTTGTTCCATATTATAAGTTGGCCTTGGAGAAGCTGGCCGATTTTGTTCCATATTATATGTTGGCCTTGGAGAAGCTGGCCGATTTTGTTCCATAATATATGTTGGCCTTGGAGAAGCCGGGCGATTATAAGGAGGATTATACACTGGAGGATATGAGCGCTCCGTGTTAAAAGTTAGGCCTGGTGAGAACGGGCCCTGTGAGTAGTGAGATCTAGGAGAAGTGGGGTGTAGGATGTCTACGTTGTGCACTGGTGAAGTTGGACTTTGCTGTGAGACGTAGGGCTGTTGGGAAAAGCCTACAGGCTGTCTATCTGCGACGCGTGGTGCTGGTGAGAGAGGTCCCTGACTGCCAAAGCCATTGTATTGTCTGAATGCCATGTTCGTTTCCGGGTTTGGATTCTCCGCTCGCCTAGTGCTGGGGAAGTTCAACGGTGGTTGTGAGAGCGGAACTGTGGGTGACGTGATTGGAGCTCTGCTTGGAGACGTCGGAGATTGGTGTGTTGTTTGTTTTGGTGACAGGGGTGGTCTGCACACTCGTCTTATTGACATGGGGGACAGTGGTGGAGACTTTTTACCTTTCCGGCGAAATAGCGGCGATAGGGTTCCAGATTTGTTGTGTCTTTTGGGAGCTATCGGAAAATTAGCGGGCGGGGGGTACACTCTGTCCTGGGACAATGCACGTAGTGGGACTGTTTGTGTGTTGGTGCGTCCGTCTGGCCGTAGCTCGTGTGCGGGTGGGGAGTTGATGTAAGCAGATTTGATGTTTTTGGCTGTTTCTGGGTCAAACGTGTTGTAGTTTCTTGGCGAGGTTTGAGGCGCGGCAGATGCGCTGAGTGGGAAATTTCTGGGCAAAGACTGCGGGTTGTACATCAGCACAGTTTCCGGTTTGTCGATTTGAATAAACTGAGGCTTTCTGGGATACACGTCGTAGTCTGGCTCAGGATGTGCCACAGCTTGTCCTTGTTTTACAGTATCCGCCTCGCTTTGGTTCGCTGTACCAACCATGTCTTGAGATACAACATTAGACTCCGTTGTAAAAACATTAGGGCCAACTATGAGAGGGATACTGAGGCTATTGTCATGGTTGGCTGGAAGTGAATTGTTGGGGTTGTGACTTATCTGACGGTCTGATACAAATTTGGACTTTGGGAGCGTTGCTGGTGGCGTTGGTTTCAACGTCTGCGTTTGTTTGTCCATTGAGATGGAGCGTTGGAGTTCGAACCCGTGCAGGGAAGGAGACGACTCGGATCGGGAAAATTTCTTTCTAAACGCCGGTAGCGGAGGGGGCAGGGGTGGCTCCTCTTTGAGGTCCGTCTGCACAGCTACGCTACTTTTGTTGTCGTCGCCGTTTGACAAATGTGTAGATTTTTTAACACTAGACAACTTGGAATACCCGGATTTATTTCTCAGGGAATCAGAGAGTCTCGAGGTGCCCACTACAGCTCGGACCTCGCCGCCTGCATCAATGACCTCTTGTGGCTTTGGCTTTAAGAAATTTTGAGAGGGACTTTTACCAGATTTTGATGAAGACAAATTGTTGATACTTTTCGGGTACATGTCCACCACCCCGTTAGGCCGAGAATATTTCCCAGTCACATCATCCTGAAAAGCGATTTTCTTCACCTGGGTCAGCCGCACGTCAGGGTCGGTGAGATAGTCCGTGATCGTGGAGGCGGAGTCAACTGTCGCGTACACGCCCTCGCCGTACGGTGTCGCTTCTACTTTCGGGAGCGCCATCTTGGGTCTGCCGTGAACGGGCGAGAGCTTGGTTTGTGAGTTTTGGAAAAAGTCTTGAGTCTCGACACGGTCCAGCGAATCGCCGCTGTAGAGCCCTGTGTAAGGCTGTTGGAGATTGCTGATAGTCGACAGGGGGATATTCGACAGCGATGTCGTCATGGCGTCAAGGTAGCTCCTCATTGAGGCTAAATTGAAGCTGGTGTTTCGCAGGATCTGATCGATTGGTCCGGCTGACAGCGAGGAAGGAAAGCCAGTGTAGGGGTTCGGGAGGTTGTAGTTAGTGCCAGATAAAAGAGAAAAGTTTGGGTCAAAAGGATTTGTAGCCACCGCAGCAGCCGACGTATCGTCTGCTGATATCTGAATGGAAGAAGTCTCGTTTTCCTTGCCGGTGAAGACACTCGGCCTTTTCTGTCTCAGTGATGGTTTTGTAGGTTCGGCTGGCACTTTGGTTTTCGTGTAATCTTTGTTTTTCTTGTCGCTGACCGAGTCACTAGAACTACTTTGTCGGAAGCTTTTCTGGCGTACATGTCGTAGCGCTCCGCTTTTATCTTTTTTATTTCGTTTCGTTGATTCGCTTCTGGAACGTCTGTATGTGTAGATAGGTACTGGTTCCTTAAAGTCCCGCTTGCTTAGATTTATGTTGCTTTGAGAACGTTTTCGACTTTTTCTTTTTAATGACGAATGATAACTGGCTTTCCTAGCCTTCTGATCAATGTCTGAATCCGACGCATCTTCTGAAGACGAGCTGCTTAGGTACAAGTCCTGCCCCAGCTGTGCAGGATTCAGGTAGTTCATGCCCGGGTAGTAGAAGTAGTTGCTGCCGTACGGGTACTGTTCCTTTCCGTCAGGTCCCGTGGGGACACTGGGAGCGTAGAGTTGTCCATCCTCCCCCATGTAAAGAACATCCCCATAAGACCCACCAAG